AGGGCATACGCAGGAGAAGAGCTCCTGCATATCCCAGAAAGAAAGATGGGCTTCAGGACTCCTTAGTTCCATTCGGTCCAGCACCCCCCCCACACACACCCTGCCCTAGGCCCTGCCGCACACACTAAGAATTTAAGTGCCGCAATTACTGTGCCTCGTACTGTTCTAGGTTCTAAGGGGGCAAAAGCAAAAACGCCCCTGGCCTCAGGGAGCTCACTTTCTATCCCAGGAGACAAAATATGCATCAGTAGGCACATACAGAGAAGGTAGCAGGCAGTGGGGGAGTATGGGGAGGGGAACAGGAAAAGCTTCCCGGAGCCGGGCCTGGGAGGAAGCTCAGGGTTCCCAGAGGCTTAGGTGAAGAGGGGTTGTATCCGACCCAGGCTTGTCAGCCCCTGGAGGATGGGCTGAAGAGCAGAGTGAGGGTGCTCAGGGAAGATGGAGCCGGGTGGAGCTGCATGAGTGGGGAGCAGGGGCCAGGCCAGACCTGGCAGTGAGGGCAGGGGAGAGGCCAGGCTGAATCCCAATGACGTGAAGGATGGGAGAGCCCCTGGCACACTTAGGAGAGCCTGGAAGAGCGTAGGTTAGGGGGGAGACGGGGAGCTTGGAGAGGCCTGTGGGGCTGCACTCAGGAGAGGGACTCGTGTTGGAAGCATTGAACCCGGGTGAGTGTAAGAAAGGGTCTAGAGAGGGGAAAGTGGACAGACACCCACGAGCAGGCCAGAAAAGGGAGAAGGAGGAGGGGCAGCGGCCAGCGGTGTTGTGAAGGCCCAGAGAAGGGGGCTGTGCAAAGTAAAGTGAGGGAGGGGGAGTGTCAGGCGAGGCCTCACGTAAGCCACCACCGCCTTCCCTCATTCCCTGTGTGACCCAGGGCTCACAGCTCTTGTCATTTCCAAGTCTGGAAGAGAAATTGAGCCGTCCAGATTCAACCCCCTTCTCTGAAGTCCCTACCTGTAAAGCTGTGTGCCGAGGCTAGGGATAGAGAAGGATGGAAGGTCGCACCATCGCTGCCCTCACATAGCTTCTAGTCTGCTAGTAATAGAACAGGTTAAGGAACAAAATGCTCTGAGAAAGCTGAGAACGGAGAGATGGAAGAGATGGTGTTTGGCTGGAAGGCTTCAGGGCAGGGGAGGAGAGGGGAGTGTGGCTCCAGCCGGGAAGCCAGCAAATCACGGAAATGAGACTTGGGTGGGATCAGGAGCCAGCCTGAAGAGAGTTGGTGCCAGAGGAGACTGAAAAACTAATTTGAAAAAGCACGGAAGGAACTGGGTTATGAACAGCCTCCATTAGCAGATGGTCTGAGCAATTGGAGATCCATCATGCTGGTCTAGAAAGGCAGAATTTAAGAGGGATGAATGTCAAATTCTCCACTTGGGTTTAAGAAATCAATAGCGTGAATATAGCATGAAGAAGACACGGCCAGACAGCACCATGCTTGGAAAAGCACTAGCCCGGGCGTCCAGAGCAGCGTGGCGGTCGTCAGAGACTCCCCGGGCCCAGAGTCAGACTAAGAGGATGCTGGGCGCTGGGCTGCCCCTGCCTGAGGGAGCGCCAAGGGCTTTTAGGTGAGTGTAGGCCAGTCTGATGAGTCCTGCGGCCAAGGTGCCGGATGACCCGGGGAAGGGGTCGCTGAGCTGGTTCTATCTTACAAAGTGACCCCGTTCCAGCAGCAGGTGAGCAGTAACTAACAAAGAAGGCTGGAGGCCTCCTGGACGCAGCCTCAGTCCACGCTGGATGAATGGGCCGAGTTCTGGGTGCCATTTTCGGGAAGCATCGACCAGCCTGAATGTGTCCTGTGAAGGGCAGCCAAGATAGCGAGGGGACCAGAGGCTGAGTCCCATGGGGATGAATTGAAGGAGCTGCCGATGAGAAGAGTGGGGGCTGTGAGCTTGTGTCCCAGGGTTCGGGGAAGGTCCAAAGTGGGTCAGATTTGAGCCACGTGGACGGAACACCTTGATTGTGCTCAGAGCCGTCCAGAAGTCAGCCGTGGCTGGCGGTGGGTCTCCAAGCCTCGGCCGGGGGACCACGTATATTGTTCATTCCTGTTCATGTGTGGTTTCTGATGGGCCTTCCCTCCCTGAGGGTTTGTGAACCACTGAAGGCATTGGAGCCAGAAGGGGGTGTGATGAGGTCTGTGCGTGAGGAAGGTGTTTTTGGCAGTTCTATCAGAATAGAGACAGAGAGGCCAGCCAGGAGGCCGGACAGTAGTATGACAAGGTGGCAGAGGCAGTGAGGAGGCGAGGACGGGACAGGACAGGTGCAGAAGGTATTGCCGTGACTTGGCGGCTGATTGCGTGTGAGGATGAGCAGGAGGCAGGGCTGAGCCTGACTGGCAGGATGGTGATGCTGACATTGGGATGGGAGAGGTCACCTCGGGAGAGAACAGTGTGGGAAGCAGGCGCAGGGATGTTCCAGGAGGGACGGGTACCCTGAGAAGACATGAGCAGCAATTAGAGGTGGAGGGGCAGAGCCCAGCCTCTCCCAGACACAGTCCAGCAAGCAAGAGGGCTCTGAGGGAGTCAGGGGCTGCCAGAGCCAGCTTTGGGATCCTGGGAGGGGAGGTGGGGTAATCAAGCAGGAGACTTAAGTGAAATGGCCCCTGCCCGCGAGGAGCTTATACTCCAACAGGGAAGAAAATAGTAATATATGCAAGTCAGTACGAAAATGAATACAAGGCAGTTTGGGCAAAGTGAACGAGCGCCTAGCGGGGTTAGGCCAGGCCTCATCTCTCCGGTGGGGCTTGAATGGAATCTGGAGGGAAATCAGGGATTCCCAGAAGCTGAGGTGAGGGATGGGTAGTGAAAGGACTGGAGACGCAGTGTGGAATGGGTGGACTGAGAGTGGCAGCCCACAGTGGAAGGCAGTAAGGTGTAAAGAGATTGGGAGGCCAGAGAGCTTCTGCTGCCTGTTGAGATCAGGATGGGGGAGGAGGAGGAAAGGGTCAAGCTAGACTGCTAGGTCGCAACTCGCTATGCCCCGGTGGTCATTGTGGCAGTTTGAGTATGATGGCAGCCTTGGGATGAGAACCTGAGCTCTAGGCTGTCTTTTTACCTCGGCCTGCTGCTCCCTGTTGGCTGTGATCTCATGGAATGACGCCATTTTCCAAGCTAAGAATGGCCATTTGAGGGGCCTCAGGAGGGTGTGACCAAGAGCTTTCTGGTGTTGGGGTAGCCCTGGGCTCCTCCCACATTTGTCCAGTGCAGCAGCTGTCTCAGTTAAAAGGCCGAATGGCCGTTCCAGTTCAGTGCCAATGCTGATTGGGTACAAGGCACTGGGGCGAGGAGCATGGTTCCTGCCCTCAAGGTGCTTACAATCTAGTCTGACCTGGGAGATCCTTAGAAGGCAGTGGGCCTGGAATTCTGGTCAGAGCCAGAGGAGCTTGGGGTGGATGAGTGGAGAGCTGCTGTTGGAGCTGTCCAGAGGTGGGATGGTGAGGGCTTGGTGGAGGGCTTTCTAGGTCAGGTCCTGCTCCCAGCCTGGAGACTCTGCCGTGTTTGGTTGAGGGCTGGGGCCCAGGGTGGCCTCAGGCCGTCCTCAGACCTGCCCCTTAACTGACTGAAGCATCCCTTGCCATTCTCGTTCCTGCCAGTGGGGCCACCTCCCACCCACCGTCAGCCCCGCAGGCCCGCTTCCACTTCTGTCCTCCTGTGTCTCTTCCCTCCATTCCTTACTTTCCGTCCCCACTGGCCCTGTCCTCATCTGCTGCCTCATGCCCAGTTGACCGGAATGATTGAATTCTCAGCCGTCGTGTTCTTCCTGGACCTGGTTCAGTGGTTTCCTGCCATCCAGGCCCCTCAACCTGGCGATCCAGGACCTCCACAAAGGGGCCTCGCCTTACCTTTTGGTACTTCTCTCCCCATACTTTCTACATGGCCTAGCCCGACCCATGAGGCCTTCCCTGAGCTCCCCAGGTGGAAGTGAACCCCCCGCCCCCTAAGGTTCTTAAGCTGGGTGCCACTGCCAAGCCTTGTAGAGATCCAGCACTGAGGAGTTGGGATTCGGACTTCCGCTGTCTGCTGGATGATAAGCTCCCCGAGGGCAGGGGCTGCGATGCACAAGCGGGCGCCCCCATTGGCCAGGCCGGGTCCTGGGGCACCTCAGATGTGTGCCTTGAACTCCCTGCCCCAGGACATCCACGCCAGGGCCTTGGCCCCAGCAGGTGCCTAAAGTGCCGCCCTTCTCGCCTCCACTCTGAACCTTCCTTCCAGACTCAGCTCCAATCCCCACTTTCTGAAGGAGACCCTTCCCACCTCCCCATCACCACCACTACTAATCCCTTCCCCTCCAAAATGACCTCCCATCAGCTCTGTGTACGTCTTGTACGTGCCGAGCTGTTTCCACGTGCTCTCCCCCATGAGAATGCGAGCTCGCCAAGGGAAGCGCCTGTGTTCTTGCTGCTGTTTGCAGAATCCAGGGCTTTGCACAGTGCCTGGCACATAGTAAATGGATTTGGAATTGGGTGAGAGCTGTGTTCTAATCCTCGCTCTGGCCCTTCCTAACTGGATGACCTTAGGCAAGTTACTAAACCTTTTTGCCTTGGCTTTCTCACCCATAAAATGGAGGTGATAATACGTATGGCATCTACTTCACAGGATTGTGTGTGAACAAGCATTTATAAAGTGCCAACTGCACGCCGGGGCATGTGACAAGCACTGGGGATGCAGAGAAAGGCAGAGACACGTTCCCTGTTCTCAGGGAGCTCACGTTCTCCTGGGAGCGTGTTGTCAGTCAGCCAACATTTATTAATCACCTACTGTGTGCCAGGTGCTGGGGATACAAAGAGAGGCAAAAGCAGGGCATGGTCTCGTGGGAAGTTGTTTCGAGGATCAATGAATGGCACACACAACACACATGGCTGGTCTTCATGGACGGTTGTGGGCGCCGTCTTTTCCTTTGGGAATGAGCAGGGCTCTCTGGGCTTTGGGTGCGTCTGGTGAGCCCCTGCCCCTGACCAGCCTGCCTCCCCTTCACCCGCTGCTGTCTCCCCTGTGTCCCGACAGCATCCGTAGTGTCATGCAGAAGTACCTTGAAGACCGAGGGGAAGTGACCTTTGAGAAGATTTTCTCCCAGAAGCTTGGTGAGTGAGGGTGGGTGGCGGGAGCGGGGAGGTATGGCCTGGCTCATGGGCCCCCGCCCGGAGCCACGGTGGTCCTGTCGGGCCCGTGTGCCCCAGGGGGCCTGTCTGCAGTGCCCAGCCTGGCCCAGGGAACCCTGCGGGGCAAGTCTCGGGCCTGCTTCCCCACCGGAGGCTAGGCAGGTTCCTCCTTTGGGCTTTTTGTTTTTCTGAGTTGCAGCTTCCCCTTGGCCGAGGCTGCAGCTGTGCTAAGGCCCGTTGGTGGGACCGACAGGAAGGGGCGGGGCCCTTCCTGTGGAGGGGGCCCAGGCTCTGCTGACGCTGGCCGGCTGCTGGCCGGCTGCTCTGCTCCTGTTGCCTTGTCTCTAGCCTTTAAGGCCCATCCCGTCGTGGGGGGGGGAGGGGGCACCGATCGCTTGAGGCCTAGAGGGTCCCCACCCCTGACTACCAGGACCTATCCCCAGACCTAGCCCTCCCACACGACCTTGGCTGAGTCTCTCCCTCCCTGCCTCTCCCTGGCAACAAATCATGTAGAATCCAGGAGAACTGGTCAGCACCTGTGCCCCTTCCATGATGGTAGGGTTCACCTCAACCTGACCTTGTAGACAGTTGGGAGCCTCAAAAAGGGGCTTGTGGGTGGTGCCCACCTTCCTTGAAGAGGCTGGTCAGCAGTGGGCAGGAGGCAGAGGTCAGCCCACAATGGTACATTGGGACTGATGGCTGAGGTCAAGGATTCCTTGGCCCCGGCTATGCCCAGGCCATCCTCCCCTCTAGGCATGCTGCTCAGTTAAAACGACTGTGCCCCTTTCCCCTGGGCGAGGGAATTCTGAAGTGAGCCCCAGTGAGGCAGTGGGGGGCGGGGACAAGGGCCAGAGCCAAGGACCTGGGTCCACGTTCTGCCTTTGGTGCACGGCCTTGGACACACCACTTCCATCCCTTGGCCCCATTTTTGGCCTCTGTAAAATGAAAGGGCTGGGCTTAGTGGCCCCTTCCAGCTCTGATCTCTGACACGCGCCCCCTTCCTTCACCCTTTGTCCCTACATTCCTTTCCCAAGGTGCTCCTGGCTGACCGCAAGCCCCCCAGCCTTCTCCTCCATCCCGGGGTGGCCGGCAGACAGGACCCCAGGGCCAGTTTCCATGTGAAGGCGCACGCACACACACACACACACACACACACACACACACACACACACTCCCAGTAAGTGGAGAATCCTCACCTGTGCCTTTCCTCACCTTTACTCTCAGGCTACCTGCTCTTCAGAGACTTCTGCCTGAACCACATGGAGGAGGCCAAGCCCCTGGTGGAATTCTATGATGAGGTAGGTGAGAGCCTGGCCTCAGCAGAGAGCCACCACCTCCCCCTTTCAGCTCTGGTCTGGCTGAGGTGGGGGGTGGGGCCCTTGGTATGTCAGACAGGGCCTCCTGGCCCTCCTGGCTGTGGACCTGCCTGCCTTGTTCATTCCACCTGGCAGAAAGCCCTCTCCAGAATATATGGGACACTGTGGCTACTGATGATATATGTTTAGACCCCAAAGAGCAGTAGAGATATTAGTGCTAAAGAAAGTCATGGAGGAAACCTTTTGCATGGGCTGATGTTGGGGCAGGGACCCTATATGACTCCTGGGGATTTGTTGATCAGATCAAGAAATATGAGAAGTTAGACTCAGAGGAGGATCGTGCCATCAAAAGCCGAGAGATCTTTGACTCGTACATCATGAAGGAGCTGCTGTCCTGCTCCCACGTGAGTGCCCAGCCAACCTCTGACCCTCTTACCCATGCTTGCATCAGCCTGGTAGGAGAAATATCTTTGTTGCCTTGGGACAAGCTAACCCATAATCTCCCAGAATCTCCCAAGTGATTCTTCACTGGGAAGGGGTGGGCTTTGAGCCGAAAGAGGGGAGGGGGGCCCAGGGCTCTCCCAGACTCAGAACTGACAGTCACCCATCTCTCTTTCTTAGCCTTTCTCCAAGAGTGCCACTGAGCACGTACAGGGCCGGCTCCTAAAGAAGCAGGTACCCCCTGACCTATTCCAGGTAGGTCCTGTGTGCTTCTGCCCACCATCCCCACCCTGCCTTAGTGCCCCAGCCTGCAGTAGGCCTCCTTTGTCCTTCCCGTCCTAGCCCTTGGCCCTGCCCCTGCCACCATCGGGTTGGTCCATATCCTTTCACACAGTGTGATTAGAGGTGGGCAGTCTTAGCTGAGCCTTGGATAGATGCCACCCTACCACACTCCAGCAGATATCTTGGGTGGTCTTAAGGCCTGGGGCCTGTACCCTGTCATGAGGCCCTCCCTAAGTCCTGGGCTTGGGGCCTTTTTCCTTAGCCATACATTGAGGAGATTTGCCAGAGGCTTCGGGACGACGTGTTCCAGAAATTCATTGAGAGGTAAGTTTAAAGGTCACAGTGGGAGAAGACGGAGGGGAAAGTAGAAAGTCTAGGAGTGGCAAGAAGGGAAGAAAAGCCTGGGCAGAGAGCAGAGCCTGGGTCGCACAGAGTGAGGGCCTGGGCCTTCGGAGGCCCCCGGAGGCAGGCAGACCCGTGTGGCATCTTCTTGTCTGAGCTCTGCCAGGTCTGCCCGGGGCATGCCTACGGCCGGGAAGCTTGTATTCACAGCTGGACCGTGAGCTCTTCAGACTCTGGGAGGAAGCCGTGGCGTCCAGCATGTCCGCACTGGGCCATGCTCGGGCCGTAGTGCTCGACATGCTTATGGTCACCGGTCCGGATCATATCAATGAGAATGAAGAAGGACAGCCAGGACCCTTCGCCCTTGCCCCCCCTTCTCAGCCTCCTGCACCCCTGGGATGCCTCTGGACAGCAGGCACCCCAGGAAAGGGTCGGACTCTCCCAGTTGGCCAGGAGCCACATTGGCCCTGCTGCCCTGGCCCTCGGTGTCTCCCTGCTGAGACATGGGGCTTCCTTCTCCTGCAAGGAGGGGCGTGGGAAATGGGCCGGGCTGGGCCAGCAGCCTGGCTCACTGTGGCCGCGGCCACCCTCTCTGTTTCAGTGAGAAGTTCACTCGGTTTTGCCAGTGGAAGAATGTGGAACTTAACATCCATGTGAGTAGGCACTAGAGCCAGAAGCCTGGGGTCATGCGCGCCTCAGGGGCCTTTTTCAGGGGTCATAGAGCTGAGAGGGGTCAAGCCAACCCCTCATTTTACAGACGGGGAAACTGAGACCCAGAGAAAGGAAGGGGCTTGCCCAAGGTCACACAGAGGCTGGATTTGAACCCACGTCTTCTGTCTCCAGAGCCATCGCCTGGAACCCCGGGGCACCTGTTGCTCCTATCCTTCCCTTGGGAGAAGACGGGGTTCTAGCCTGGCTCTCTGGGGTCCTGGGAGAGCAAAGGGAAGAAGAAGACAAATGCCCTGGCATTTTGGAGGCAGCGGGACGCCCCCGGGGTGCTAGGGCCTCGGCTGACGGGGGTGGGGGCAGTGAGGCTCTTGGGTCACACTCACCGCGGCTCTGCTCCATCAGCTGACCATGAATGACTTCAGCGTGCACCGAATCATCGGCCGTGGCGGCTTTGGGGAGGTCTACGGCTGCCGGAAAGCCGACACGGGCAAGATGTGAGTGGCCCCAGCTTCAGACTGGCATGCAGCCGGGAGAGGGGATCGAGGGGACCCCAAAGGGAGAGCGCGGGGAGACGCCCCTAGCTCTGGTCCCCTCCCCCTCCCCCTCCCAGGTACGCCATGAAGTGTCTGGATAAAAAGCGTATCAAGATGAAGCAGGGGGAGACGCTGGCCCTGAACGAGCGCATCATGCTTTCTCTCGTCAGCACCGGGGTGAGCTGGGCGTCGGGACGGGGTCTCCCTGCCCCCTCGGCTCCGGGCCGGGCACCCACCTCTCATCCTTCCCTTCTCTGCCTCCCCCAGGACTGTCCCTTCATCGTCTGCATGTCCTACGCGTTCCACACTCCCGACAAGCTCAGCTTTATCCTGGATCTCATGAATGGTGAGCTCTGCGTCCCGGGGCCTCCCCTCGGGCCTGGCTGCCTGGGCCCCAGGCTCCAGCCTCTCCGTGTTCTGGCCTTGCCTAGGCGGGGACCTACACTACCATCTGTCCCAGCACGGGGTCTTCTCGGAGTCAGACATGCGCTTCTACGCCGCCGAGATCATCCTGGGCCTGGAGCATATGCACCGGCGATTTGTGGTGTACCGTGACCTGAAGGTGGGAGAACCCCTTCTGCCCCCAGCCTGGACCCCAGCCCCCCACCAGGCTCCAGAAAGTGGCAGGAGGCCCCGTGACCACGGCAGACTCCCGTCCCTTCCTCTGTCCTTGTCCAAGCCAACGCCGTCCCTCTCATGCCCCGGCCAGAGCTCGTGGTGCCCCTAAGCCCCCCCCAGTCAGGGACCTCCGCTTCTTGGTCCCCTGCTGCCCAGCCCCTCCACAGCTGTGTGTGTTCCACCTACAGCCTGCTAACATTCTGCTGGATGAGTTTGGTCATGTGCGCATCTCTGACCTGGGCCTGGCCTGTGACTTCTCCAAGAAGAAGCCTCACGCCAGCGTGTGAGTATGGGGCCCCCGGCGTGTCCCTCTGTGGGCCCCAGGCTCCTCCTCCCCTGCCTCCAGCCCAGCCTAGGCTCTTATGCTTGGTCCCGTGTCCCCGCAGGGGTACCCACGGCTACATGGCGCCCGAGGTCCTGCAGAAGGGCGTCGCCTATGACAGCAGCGCCGACTGGTTCTCTCTGGGCTGCATGCTCTTCAAACTACTGAGAGGGTGAGTGGTCAGTGAAGGAGAGCCCTCAGTCCCTGGGGTCCTGCCCCTGCCCCCAACGGTGCCACGGGAACCCCAATCCTCCAGAGCATTCTGGGAGCCAGGAGAAAAGCTGGAGAAGGAGGCAGTGGGAGTGGCCTCCAGCCTCCTGCTTCCATGCCCTGGGGCCCTCATGGTCTCCCAGCGCAGTCAGGAGCAGATATGGCCTCCAGGTTTGGGGGGGGGGGGAGGCCTACTCATTCTGCAGACAAGGAGCAGAGGCCCCCAGGGAAGGTAGTCAGGACGGTGCAAGGTTCAGAATCAGCATGGCCTCTGTCACCTCCTGGGGCTGCAGCTGCGTCTGCCATGGGGAAGCTGACCTAGCAGAGGGAGGGGTAGCCGGGGGTGACTTGGCAGCCTGGTGACCTCGTGCGGCCGGCTGCCTTCCCTGTCCAGGCACAGCCCCTTCCGCCAGCACAAAACCAAGGACAAGCATGAGATCGACCGCATGACGCTGACGATGGTGAGTGCAGGAGGGGTGGGTGGCAGGCTGGGCCCAGCCCTTCGAGGGAGCCCGCGGCGATGGGGAGCCGCGTGGCCACTTGTCCCCTGTACGTCCATTAGGCCGGTCATTGGGGGGGATCAACCCATGGAGGCCTTTCCGGGCCTGTGGGCTGCAGAAGATGGCCAGGCCCTTGGGGTGTGCCAGGTGGGCAGGGGCTGGGCGGCAGATGCCGCATGATCTGCTGAGGACCCGTGTGGCCGCCCGCGCCTGGATCGTTGCAGGCCGTGGAGCTGCCGGAGTCCTTCTCACCAGAATTACGCTCCCTCCTGGAAGGACTGCTACAAAGGGATGTCAACCGGAGGCTGGGCTGCCTCGGCCGCGGGTGAGCGTGCGCGCTGAGCTTCTGCCGCCCCGCTTGGGCAGGGGAGAGGCCGGCGGGGGGCGGGATTCTAAAGGTCGTCCTGCCTCTCCCCCTATCACCAACAGGGCTCAGGAGGTGAAGGAGGCCCCTTTCTTTAAGAGCGTGGACTGGCAGATGGTTTTACTGCAGAAGGTAAGAGCGTGGGCAAGGCTGGGGATGGACAGCAGGCTAAGCACCCCCAGCAGGGATGGCACAGCCTGGTCTCTTTGTGACAGTATCCGCCACCTCTGATCCCACCGCGAGGCGAGGTGAACGCTGCTGACGCCTTTGACATCGGCTCTTTCGATGAGGAGGATACAAAAGGGATCAAGGTATGGGGGCTGGGCCTGGGGGTGGGGGTGGAGAGGCCCAGAAGCCCCCAAGCTCAGGGCCACCTCAGCCGCGGCCCCCGGGGAGCCAGCAAACGCAGGCGTCTAGCCCCAGCGCGGAGCCACGTCCTCGTGCCGTCCTGAGACCACAGCGTCGCTGAGCCAGCCCGCGAGACCGTGACGTCCGCCCTTTCTCACGCAGCTGCTGGACAGTGACCAGGAGCTGTATCGAAACTTTCCCCTCACGATCTCGGAGCGGTGGCAACAAGAAGTGGCCGAGACGGTCTTTGACACGGTCAACTCTGAGACGGACCGGCTGGAGGCCCGGAAGAAGGCCAAGAACAAGCAGCTGGGCCATGAGGATGGTGAGCGCCTGGGGACCCCGCTGGCCTGGGGAGGCTGCTCCTGGGGAGTGTAGTCCCTACCACGGCCTCCCTCTCTTGCACCCCTAGATTACGCCCTTGGCAAAGACTGCATCATGCATGGCTACATGTCCAAGATGGGCAACCCCTTCCTCACCCAGTGGCAGCGGCGTTACTTCTACCTGTTCCCCAATCGGCTTGAGTGGCGGGCCGAGGGCGAGGCACCGGTAAGGAAGGAGCAGGGCCGGGCTGGGCTGGACGGGGCCGGGCCGGGCTGAACCGATCCAGTCCAGCCCATGCCAGGCAGGTTCGGCCTCGCCCGGACACCCCGGGCTGGGTGGGCTGGCTGCAGTACCCCCAGCCTCACTGTTGCCTCTCTGGGGCCTCTGCAGCAGAGCCTCCTGACCATGGAGGAGATTCAGTCGGTGGAGGAGACCCAAATCAAAGAGAGGAAATGCATCCTGCTGAAGATCCGAGGCGGCAAACAATTCATCCTGCAATGCGATGTGAGTCAGGGGAGGGGCCTGGCCCAGGGGCCGCACAGTGCAGAGAGAGGGCTGCCGCCTGAGACTGGCTCGGCCTCTTGGCCTGCTTCTGAAAACAAAGGAAGGGGGTGGCGGGACGGGGGGGTGCCTTCCTAGGGCTCCCAGGACCACGGGAAGCAGGATTCTGTGCTGTGGGCCCCTGCGGGGTCGGGCTTGGGACAAGAGGCCGGCGTGGGGGTTTCCCGGCCTCAGCTACCCTCGCTGACCTGGGCGGGGGCCGGGGCGGGGTGCAGAGTGACCCGGAGCTGGTTCAGTGGAAGAAGGAGCTGCGGGACGCCTGCCGAGAGGCCCAGCAGCTGGTGCAGCGGGTCCCCAAGATGAAGAACAAGCCGCGATCGCCCGTAGTGGAGTTGAGCAAGATGCCGCTGACGCAACGGGGCAGTGCCAATGGCCTCTGACCCCTGGCCCCGCCTAGCCGCCTGCCCCTGCCCAACCTTTTATAAACCTCTAATTTATTTTGTGGAATTTTTATTATTTTTTTCCCGCCAAGCGGAAAAGGTTTTATTTTATAATTATTGTGATTTCCTGTGGCCCTGCCTGGCCCTGTGGAAGGGGCCCGCTTGTCCCCTACACCTCCTCTTCCCACGGCCATCTAGCACCACTGCTCTCACTTCACCCCTGGGACGATGAGGTGGCCGTCTCTGTGTCTTTCTAGCGGGGACCAGGCAGGGTTGGATCTGGGGAAAGGCCTTACCCCTTTCCTGGGGCGGGAGAAGACAGTCCAGTTCTCCCCCCTCCCGTCTCCCGTGGACAGGAGTGGACAAGGCCACATGGTCTCAGATGCCACCTGGGCACCCCAGCAGACTGAGCCGTGCGTGTGCCCACGCTGCCCCAGCCGTCGCGTCCCCGCAGTTGTATCTGCTAGGAGAGCTAGCGGGTCAAGGGGCCCCTTAACTGTGCCACTCAGGGCTTCGGTCACGGGAGCTCGCAGGATCGGGGTCCTACCTGAAGCTCTCCACCACAGTGCCCTGATAGGACTGCTGCCCGAGCGCCCCTACAAAAGTCAGGGGATCTGCCTTTGCCCCCCTCCCCCTTTCCTTGCCCATGGGATCACCATGTGTCCTCTCCTGGCTTGCCACCTCTGTCAGGGGTATCAGCTTCCATGTGCCAACTCCCCGGCTCTGGCACCATTCAGGAAGGCAGGCTCCGGCCTGAACTGGAGGAGCCACACGGCCGAGCAAGATTAGCCAGTCTCTGCCAAGCACCGCCATGGTATCAACTTTGCCCTCCCCCCTCCCCAGCCCCTGCCCTACTGATGCCTCCACCCTGCTTGGCAGGAGCCTTGGAAGCTTTCCCAGATTGTGCCAAATGGACCAGGCCTCATGCTCGTCTCAGGGGAGCAAGTCTCAGGCTTAGCCACATGTTTCACTGGTGAGCGCAGAGAGAAACTTCTGTCCTAAGTGTCCCCCCTGCAGGATTTAGGATCGAGGCAGCAAGAGCCCCGGTGCCCAGTGGGGACCATGGCTAAATGTTGAGCCCCTTTCTTGCCCAGGTCGGGGCTGGTGTTACTTTGTCACTGTCTCCCCAGGGGCAGGTGGTGCCCACGGCCCTGCCCTGGCCCCTGTGCTGAAGCCCCTTCCTGGGCGCCCACCGCATGTTCCCAGCCTCCCTCCTACCTGTCCTGCTGCTGCTGCCGCTGTGCAGTGTGTAATGTGTCCCCCCCCCCCACCTGGGGCTGGGTCTGTGTGTGACGCCCCTGCTACCATCGCGCCTACCTCCCCACCACCAACACTCCATGTGCGTTTCTTTGCCGATTTTTGAATGTGATTTTAAAGAGTGGAAAAAAAAAAGATCGAGTTTTTATAAAAAAAAAAAATGGTACCTGTCTGCATGGTCTTTGTGACTTGTGTCTGTCTAATGTTCTGACTGGGGCTGAGTGGGAGGCTCAGGAGTAATCACGGAAAAGACAAACGGGCAACTTGCCGTGGAACACAGTGTGCTTGTGCCCACGATGTTGAGAGGGCGTGGTGAGGACCTGCGGCTGAGGGGCCGGGCCTGCTGGACACCAGCCCGCCTATCTCCATCTCCCCCAGGGGCAGCAGCTACTCCCCCCATTCCTGGCCCACTACCCACACCCAAGAGACCTTCCTTTTTCCTCATCTACCCTTCACTCAGGGAAGAGATGCCAGAGAGTAAGGATATGGTGGGGATGGTGGCATGGTCAAAGGTTCTGGCTTCAAATCCGAGCTCCACTACCTATAAGCTTGCCTATGGGCAAGCAGTTTCACCTCTCTTGACTCAGTTTCCTCAGTTGTAAAACATGTGAGACATGGTGCCAGGAAAAGAGCCCAGGGTTTGGAGGCAGAGAATGACCTCTGTTGACTGCCTGTGTGATCTTGAGCGGATGCCTCCTGTGATGGGTAAAAGATGAAATGACAGAGGAAGCAACCTCAGCGTTTCAAACGTATCGATTTACTAAGCAGTGCATACCGATTGCCGAGCAAACCGGGACCGGACTTCCTCAGCTTGGGCCCGGACCCCGAGTAACAGGCGAGACAGACTTTTACACATTAAAAACAATCAAATGAGGCCAATTAATTAAAAACAATACATTAGGTAACCTGATTTCTAATTGGAGGAAAGGTTAGGGACTTGCCAAGTGGGCAGGAAGAGAGCAAACAGGTGCAATTCCCCAAAATCAGAAAAAGAGCCTATGCACAAAGGAAGCAGGGAACGCCTGATCCATCAGTAGGGGCCACTTTTCAGAGAAGACAATGGGTTGCTTGAGATGTATAATCATGAGAAAGCTCCTGGCATCAATCTTCAGACCTGAGTGCCTTCTGGTTGGCATTATCAAGGTCTTTGGTTAAGGGTCTCTAAGCAGTGGGTAGGGGTGGTCCAGCTTCCCTGCCACGCAGGGCTAGGTTGAAACAATGCAAGAAGGCTTTCTCCCAATTTCCACTATTGAACAAAGATTTCTCACAAGACCAAGTGTGGGTTAGCCCCATAACTGAATAGAAAGGGAACTAAGTCGGCTCCAGAACTGGGTCACAAGATGGAGACCGTGTGCTTCACCTACTTCCCACTGGCTGTCCTAATCCCCTCAATTTGCTCATCCCCTCTCTGTACCTCAGTTTCCCCCTTTGTAAAATGAGTTGAACCAGATGACCTTTTAGGTACCTTTGAGCTCAAAATCTGAGCCCTGTGTCTGAGCCCTGTTTTGGCCTGCCCTTAGGCCAGACCGGGAGGTAGAGTCATCTCATTTGTCCTAATTTAATAAGCCTAGCAAATGCTCTGTGTGCTGTATAATTAGCATGGGAAGTCAGATCCTAGGCAGCTCTCACTCTCGCACTTGGTGATCCAGCTCCTTGGTTTTTGCATGTGACACCGGTGATAAAGGCTGCCAACCATCATTTAGGTCTGCTCCCCCACCCTCGACCTTGAAGGCTGCCAGGGGTTCCATCGTCTGGACCTGGGATCCTGCCCCTGGTTGCCATGTTCACTACTGACTGGACCTGCTCTCAGAAGTGCTAAGGTTGGGCCCCTTGACAGAGGATGAAGGAAGACCACTGGGGACTTTCCCAGGCCTCTGTGGCTCCGCCAACCTCAACGAACACCAGGTTGGGCAGTGTTCACACACAAGCTTTGAATTCGGGGACCATGAGACCCAGGGGAAATCCCCAGGCTGGAGCTTCCCTCCTCTCCCTCCCCCCAAGTGGCTTATTGGGTCAACTTCCTCCTTGCTGAGCCCCACAGAGACTGCCTCTGGCTTGGACCTCGCCTCCTCTCTAGTGCCCTGCTGTTGCTTGCTTAGGAGACTGTCAACTCATGAGGGCAGGGATTATCCCTTCATTCTTACTCCCTTCTTGCCTAGCACGTTGGCTCCTGTTTGGTGCTCTTAGGCACCAAATGTTTCTTGAGGTCTGGAGAATGGGGGGTCGGTCCTCTGCCTGAGACGATTATAGGTCCTGTCCTCAGAGATGGGGGCGGCCCGCTGCCCTTTCTCATCCACCTCCTTCTTGCTTGTGACTCATCATTTCATCCTACAAATGGTTACTAAGCATCTGCTGTCTAACAGGGATGTAGATCCTTCCACTGACTGTTGTCTGCCCCTCTGGCCAGCTCCCCTTCAGAGAGCGCTCTTGGGGCAGGATCGTCTGCAAAGCAGAGGTTTCCCTTCCACAATACTCCATGCCCCCTGCCTGGAATACCCTCTCTTTCCCTTCACCTGATAGGAATCTTGGCTTTTTTCAAAGCACAACTCAGGTACCAGTAACATTCTTTCCTGTTTGAAAAGATTTTGTCTTGCTTTGTATACATTTTGAATTTATTTACTTAGGATGTATGTTAAATCAGAATTTCTTGGATACAATGTATATCAGGCTTACATGTTGATACATGTTGAATCTTCCTCTCTTCCTGAGGGCAGGGACTGTTTTATTTCTGTCTGTATCCCCAGTAACTAACGAGGGCATGGCACAGGGTAGAGGCTTAATAAATGTTTGTTGAATTGAATCTGTAAAATGATAAAATTGAACCGGTCATGTGGGGGTATATGGGTGTGCAGGGAGGACGCGCACCTCTGGTGGGAGGGCTGCTGAACCCTTCTCAGAGCTGCCCATCTTCCTGGCACTTGACTCTCCCCTGTGGCTCCAAGAAACTGTTGTGTGTGCAGCGGCCACACCCCAATAAACTGTGTAGCAGACGGGCTAAACCAGGTTAAGGGTAACCGACTGGCATCAAATCCATCAGTCAGTCAAGGGGGGAATGTCTGCCCCAAGCACGTGAAGACTTCCCCTGGCGGAGTGGGCAGAGGAGAACAATTTGTTCCAGTGGCCATGAAGGAACCCTTAGAGCTTGGTCAGACATCAAAGACCCCAAGGTCATCCACTGCATCTGGCGCCATCTCCAGTCATCTGAACTTTTGTCTTGCCACTGGACTTGAGTAATTCTGGAGGAGAGAGTGAGGCTGGTGACTGTGCAACAACACCTCACTTAAATCCAACTCATGTGCAAGTCAAGACTTTGCCCTGTGAAATCATTGGTCCTCTTTGAAAACGAAGGACAAACAACAACCCCAGCAATAAAGCACCCACTGTGCACCAGGCACGTGCTGAGTGCTTTACAAAAGTACAGGAGTGCATGAATGCACTGCTGGTGGATCTGTGAGCTATTATGGAAAGCAGTTTGGAAGTACGTGCAAGAAGCTATTAAACTGCGTAGCCTTCGACATAGCAATGCTGCTACTACGTCTATACCCCAAACACATCAAACAAAGAGGGAAGGGACCCACATGGACTAAAATATTTATAGTTGCTCTTTTGTGGTGGCAAAAAACTGGAATTTGCGGGGAAGCCCATCAATTGGGGAATGGCTGAACAAGTTGTGGTATATGATTGTGATGGAATGCTATTGTGTAAGAAATGATGAAGGGGATGATTTCAAAGAAACCTGAGAAGACTTGTATGAATGGATACAAAGTGAAGTAAGCAGAACCAGGAGAACAATTTATACAATAACAACAATATTACAAAGATAATCAACTTTGAAAGGCATTGGTACTCTGACCAACACAATGACAAACCAGAATTCTAGAGAACTCACGATGAAACATGCTGCCCACCTCCTGATAGAGGGCATGCACTCAGACTGCAGGCTGCAACATAAATTTTTTAGACATGTCCAATGGGGGAATTTGTTTTGCTTGACCATATGTGTTTGTAGCAGGGGTTTTGCCTTTCTTTTCTTCTCAGTAGGGGAAGGGAAGGGAGGAGAGAGAAAATGTGGATCTTCATTTAAAAAAAAATAACAAAACTAAAATTAAATCAAAAACAAGTCTGACCATGTCACTTCCCTGCTCATGAAACTGTAGAATCAAATCTAAATTTATTTATTTTTAGTTTTCAACATTTACTTCCACAAGATTTTGAGTTCCAAATTTTCACCCCATCTAGCCCCTCCCCCCACCCCAAGATGGCATGTATCCTGAATACCCCTTCCCTACTCTACCTTCCCTTCTATCTCTCCCCCCCTTCTCTTATCCCCTTCCCCTTCAATTTTCCTGTAGGGCAGGATGGATTTCTGTACCCCATTTCCTGTATTTCTTATTTCCCAGTTGCATGTGAAAACATTTTTTTTAAAACATGTGTTTTTAAAACTTTGGGTTCCAAATTTTCTCCCTTCCTCCCTCCCCACCCACCCTCATTGAAAAGGCAAGCAACTCAATAATAGGTTATACATGTGCAGTTATGCAAAACACTTCCATAGTAATCATGTTGTGAAAAACTAACTCTATTTCCCTTAATCCTATCCCACCCCCCATTTATTCTATTTTTTCTTTTGACCCTGTCCCTCCTCAGAAGTATTTGCTTCTGATTACCCCATTTCCCAATCTGCCCTCCTCTCCATCATCCCCTGCTGTCTTGTCCCCTCCTCCCCCTATTTTCCTGTAAGGTAAGACATATTTCTATACCCAATTGAGTGTGTATGTTATTCCCTCCTTAAGCCAAATCCTATGAGAATAAGATTCACTCATTCCCTCTCACCTTCCCCTGTTTCCCCTCCACTGTAAGAGCCTTTTCTGTTTTTCATGAGATAAATTACCCCATTCTACCTCTCCCTTTCTCCTTCTCCCAGTATAATCCTTTCACCCCTTAATTTTATTCTCCAGATATGACCCCTTCATCTTCAACTCACGCTGTGCCCTCTATCTATCTATCTATCTATCTATCTATCTATCTATCTATCTATCT